GATGGCGCTACAAGTACGACGCCCTAAGTTTGCTTTTCTGTGAGGCATTATGCTTTTCTGTGAAAATGAACTAAAGCAGATTATCTTCTATCTATCTATATAAATAAAAATGTAATGTTCGTTTGTTCCTACCGATTCCTTCGAAATTTTGACACAACGCTGCATTCGAAATACGCATGTGTTTTTTTATAATATACATGTCGAAATTCAACCCCACTGAAGGGAGATGGTTAGGATTAAGGCTTACGGTAAAGAACTCTGCTTCTATTTATACTATTTTAAATGCGGATTTTTGCGTTTTTGATTGCATTTTAATAGGGTACGTCAAGAGAATGTACACTAAGAAGAAATTTTTCGAAAAATTCCCCCCCCCCACGGGGGAAGTGTTATAAATTTATAATAGAAACATTTTGAGCCACAACAACGCGTAGCGGGGGTCTGCTAGTTCTAATACATAGAAGTACGAGATGAGTGTCTTCTGTTTAGTTGAATAACGTTATTGCTTATCTTTATGTCTGCTTATTTATGTTTACGTCATGACGTAGATACGTCATTTATGTTTATGAATTAACGTAGTTCATGTTGTGTCATTACATCAAGACCGAAGACAATGATGTACTGTACAGTACCAGTATAATGCAGTTAGTTCGACGTACGGCAACCTACGCCGACCGTTAAATACGTCGTTTGTAGAATCGTTATAAAAAGTTTTAATTGGCATAAATTTGAGCTTCCGTTATTGTGAATAACATTTTGAATAAAAAGCATCCGTTTAAATGAATTTTATCTGATAATAAAATCAAGCAATTAAAGTAAAATAGTTCTACTGGAAACTCCATGAACTTTGACTTATCGATCCGAAAGCTTTTCGAGCACATCGCTGATGACGAGAGAGAATTACACCCCCCCTATAACACTGTTGATAATTCCATTTTATATGAATTCCATGTTGTACGAGTCACTTAGATTTTACAAATACGTGTACAGGGCTGTGAACGGCTCACATATTTGTAAAATCTAAGTGACTAGTACAACATGGAATTCATATAAAACGGAATTATCAACAGCGTTATAGGGGGGTCGACTGTAATTGAAAATTTGAGCTTTTTAAACCCAGTAATTTTTTCTTCTAGGAGCGTCTGCAGTACTAAATATGGGGGGAACACAGCTTTTTAGCGATTTTTCACTTTTCAATTGCTTATATTTCGGAAACCTTTTTACAGAATCCTAAACTCTTAAATTATTAAAACTACCCAAGAAAACTATCTTTCTGAATATCTCATTAAGAATTACTAGAAACGTCTGATGATCGAAGAAATCAATTATGAAAATCAGCAAGTTTGATTCCTGTGTATATAATCAGTCAGTGACTTTTACTTTCTCATCTCTGTTATATATAACACAGAGAAAGAAAAGCTCACGATTGGTCAAAAAATGAGTTTTACATTTTTGGACTCAAAGTAGCTTCAAACGTCGAGAAATGCAAAACAAATTCGAAGGTTTTTCTACAGGTGTTCGTTTGTGTGACACGATTTTGTTCACCCTGTTCGAAGCTTAAAAATTCTCGTATTTTTGTTAAAAAATTTCAAATTTTGCGGGTAGCTTGTGTATTAGGGGAATTAATACTATTAAATTTTGGTAGTGAAAGGTCAAGGTGTAAAGAGATAGAGAGGATTGTGTTTCATATCTCAAGTAGGGTGGAACTTAATAAAGATTTTACTCGTTATTGTCATATATAATGGCATTTATAATTTTTTTTTCATTTAAAACCTTCCCTACCTTCAAAATTAAGATTTTTGCCATTTTTTAATAATTAATTAAATGAAAATATTTTAACTGAAATAACATAACAGATGGTTCCAGACGCATTTTAAATATTGTCGCCGGGAAAGTTAAGTAACTCGTTGCTGGATTTTTTACTTTGCAAGGAGTCATTGGCGTGACTCCGGATTAAGTGGACAAAATGCCACAGTTTAAAGATATAGAATAGGTTGTGCAACTGCAATATATATTAAACAAGTGTCCTTTTAAAAACATATTTATATATTTTAATTAAGATATAACTTTGATAAAATTGGTTTTATTTTGAATTTACATATCCCTACATTAAACAATATAACGAATAATGTACGGTACATAAACGTGATGTTTATTTTCATTTCGATTGGAAGTAAAAACTGTATGGAATAAATCTATAAAGAGTTATAAATAAATAGATAATTGATTAATAATTAAATTTAAAAAATTCAAATGTGAATATACAAATATTGATAGAATAAAATAGACATGTTATGCTCTTCGAAATTTATCTTAGGAATGATGTGAGTGTGTTGGATTTTGATAAATCTTTTTATTGCAAATTTCAAAACGTGATCTCTGTTGTAATTGATAAAGTCTGTAGTTTTCAGGTATAATTTTCAGTTTTTGCAACAAAAATACATACATTTATATATTTATAGGTTTTTATTATCCATTATCAACAACAAGATTTGGAAGGCGATGCAGCACCAATAAAGCTTTCTTGAAACCAATTCAACATCGTCCTAATTTAAATATCTTGCTGTTTTCCTTCGCAACTAAGGTAAGGGCATAACATTGAGATATATATATATTTTTTATCATACATTCGCAGAGTTTTAAAACGAACTCTAAAGATTATTACTGTGAGATCTTAAATAATATGTGTAAACTCATGTATCGGAATTTTAACGAGGGTTTAACGGAAAAGTCGAAGTTTGACTATAGCGCATATACAAAGAACAAAATTTAAACGAAACAGTAAAACGATATAAAATTCGACGAAAAAAAAATGTCGCGCGAAGTAACTAAACTTCCTGGATATACAGGAGAGAAAACATTATAATCTACTCTGTAAGATACGAGTGTGAGAATCCAGAGGCTGTTTTTATATAAATTTTAAACAAAAAGATAAGCTTTAGAAAATTTTCCCCTTTTTTGTACCACTGAGTAAAAACGGGTAACTGTCAACAAGTCTTTTTCTTCCTCAGATCGACCAGCGAAATTAGCACAAATATGGGAAAGCATTATAATCTAATTTATAAGAAACGAGCGAGAGTTCAAAGTTCGCTACACAACGCGCGATTGAAAGTGAAAATGCTACTCATTGACCAATGTAATTGGTAGCACTCCGCTAACACCCGTTTTGAACTTTGCGTTCCTGATTTATATACGACTTTTACTTTTCCGGCTGTCATATAACAGAGGAAAAAATCCAGCAACGAGTTACTTAACTTTCCCGGAAACAGTTAAAATTGCGTGTGTGACTCTCTCTGTTACGATATTCTATTATTAAAAACCATATCTAATTGTAATTATAAAGTGATAAAAAAAAGCTTAATTTTGAAGGTAGAGGTGAGTTTGATAAAAAAAAATTGTAAATGTTAATATCGAGTAAACTCGTCATTAGGTCAGACCCTACTGGAAATACGACACACGGTTCTTTGTATCTCCCCATCCCATCGAGCTTTAATCACAAAAAATAAAAAGCATCAATCCATCTATTACACAAGCCTCCCTGCAAAATTTCAAAAAATTTTCGACAAAAGGCACAGGAGTTAAAGCTTCAAAGTGGATGAAAAAAATCATACTACGCACACGCAGATATAATAGGTCTTCTGAGACCAAAAATGTAAAGATTAGGAAGGTTTATTTGTTGACTGATTGCCAAACTTTTCCTCCATTTCATACAACAGTCGGGAGAGTAGAATTTATTTTATAAGTTTTTATAATTAACTTCTTGCCCATTTATTGTTTGTTTGGTCAATATATTCTACACGATGATCGAAAAGTCGCGCGCAAGTAAGTTAGGAATCGATTTACTTTGTGAAGTTAATGTAGAAAATAAAGTAGGTAATAATAACAAATAACTATAATGATGTTATTAAAACATGAGTTTGAAATGACCTGGTTCACGAATACAGGCTCAAACTATTTTTATCACGTTTAATGCCACATTGTGAAACACTGAAAATTGATGCTAGCAATAGCAGTTATAATGTTTCTCTTCAGAAAAGGAAAAAATTTCTGGGTGACGAATCTTACGTCCACAATTATTTAGAAATAAAACGAGCGCAGTAATTTTCTTGAGACTTGCAGAACCTGGTTATTTCTGATGAAACTCGTCTGAGACACAGAAAAGTCAGAGTTTCTAGAAGTAGTCAGAAGTCATTATAATGACATCTTGTGGAGGGAGGTAATAAAATAACTAGACACGATTTACATAAACTAACATTTTAATGTGCGCGATTTTTCGATCACCCTGTGTAATGTATTATATTTCAGGGTTTATCTGACATTGAGGCTGTATTACTTTAGCCCACATCAATTATTATGGTCTAAGAGATTTTATATCCTAACACTTTTCTAAACTAACCTATACCGAAATTTATACAAGTTTTATTAAACAATATACATGAAAAGAAGTAAGCGCGAAAAGAAAAACGTTTTTTACGTCATATTCGTTCATTTCATGACCGATTAGAATGTGTTTCAATAGCGGTCGAATAATTTTTTTTTATTATGTTTGACTGGAAATACAATAGAACATGATCAAGACATGAATTAATTCAGTAAACTCAAAACACAGAACAATTAACTTATATCATGAGTTCAAATTTCATTTGAAAGAGTTTTGCTCAATTTTACTTCAAAACGTTTAATGAAAACTGAAAATATCAAGTGAAAACGTTTTTAAGTTTTAAAATTAAAGCTTTTCTTAATCTAGTAACATCGATAAAAGTAATTAATTTTATTAAGAAGTTATTAACTGTATCTTAAATTCAGGTTTCATTGTGTGATTCAATGCTATACAAATTTGAGCAGTCATGTATTGTTATTGATATCTATCATATATCTATGAATATCTACGTAAGTATGATAGATTTAATAAATATGTTAAAATATATTCTGAACAATTTCTTCTATGTTTAAACTTAATAATTGAAATTTTACAATTCAGTATAAAATATTTCATTTCTAGATTATTTTCGATGAATATAAACGAGCTAAAGCAGTTCAGTTCGATCGATTCAAGAGATCTTATACTGTTTATGCAAGAAAAGAGATAATTATATCAGCTGGAGTCATCAACTCTCCTCAGTTGTTAATGCTGTCAGGTATCGGCATTAGAAAACACTTAAACAAATTCAAGGTAAGTTTAGTAAAACTCTATGAAATTTTAAACAATAATAACCTAATATATTAATAAAAGAATTACAGAAAAATTAAAAAATTTAAAAATAAATATTTCCCTGAGTAATGTGTGAAATTATCCGAAATATATTAACTGTATATGCTTTATATATAGAGAGTATATCAATAATGCATTGAGGACGGCAGAATAAATAGCAATACTTAAGCCTGATTTGGTTATTTTCGATCAATTATAATTAAAAGTTTACATCTCTAAACAATCTGTGTCGATATACAGTTCTGTTTTTCGAATCTCAATTGAATATATCCAATAAAATAGAGGATCCAGAAATCTTTAGAGGAGTGCTGTAAAAAAACAATATGCCTTAAAGAATTTTTACTGCCTGAGGCTTTACTCGAGAAAAACCCACAGAAGAAAATGCAGCTGTGCCTACCTATCGCCTTATTCTTTTCATGGGCTGTTATCTATATTGTTTATGTAACCCAGGACAATTTGTTATTCTAACTAGGGTTTTTCATTTCCCGGTCTTGCTTGTCCCGGATCTCGGGAAATCCCGGGACAGAATTAATTATTTTCAAGATATACAAAATATCATGAAATCAAATGATATAATTGTTTTTCGTTTTTTAAAGTAATTTAATACATTCTGTAACCTCCAAAATTATATTAATAATGCTGCGTAAGATATATATTAAAAATTACCTTTGAATTACGTAGAAATTTTCATAAATAAAAAAATTTATTAAAGTTTGCTGGAAACTACATACAACAACACCATAAAATGCTTTGAATTGAGTTAAAAATTTAAAAAAAAATGAACTTAGATCAAACTTCTAACTTAGAAGGTAATTTTCGTTTTTTAAATAAAATGTAATACAAAATATTGCAAATTTAAGATTTTAAAAAGCAAAGATGGTCAATACTCCGATCACTCAATCTAATCTTATTTTAGTAATGAAAAGTCTTGCTACCGAGAATGCGCTTTCCGATTCAATTGATGTGATTGGAATAGTGTTTAATGCATTTAAGAGAAGATAAATATTATGTGTAACCTGTAACCTGAAAGATTTCTAGTTCGTTTTCGAGATTGTAGTACTTCTTTTGTTCTCTAGTATTCTTAATTTGTCTACCTCGACTGCTTTAATAAAAACATCATAGCTCAATAAATCGGCAGTTCGAATGTCTTTAATAATCAGGTTATGAAGAAAAACTTCATAGTTGCAGACTTCGTACTCGTTTGTATCCTTGCCCAACTGCACAACTTGGCGTTACGCAGTTATCGAAGCTACTGGGCATGGTTAAAAATTAAGACAGCGTAAGCACAATTATTCCAGATATTACAGGTAAAGAATTTTGAGAGTCCTGCCACAAATAAGCTACGAGATCCCGGAATCACGTTTGAGAAACCCTAATTCTAACTGACAGGATTTTGACACCACTTTTTTATATCTCTATCTGAAGATAGAGATATAACAAAGTGGTGTAATGAATTACAAATATTTAATTATTTATTTGTAATCATAAAATTTATCCAGATAAAAGAACAGAGATAACGCCCAACGAGTGATCTATTTCTGAAATATTGAGATAAATCTTTTATTTGCATATTAATACTTACTTGTTAATTTGTTTTTAATCTAATATATCATTAGACGTTTGAAATTTAATATCTATATTCTCGCGTGCATATAATGTATGTTAGTGTTGATACTCTAAATTTTTAGACAGAAGATTTACACTCACATGAAATGATATAGAATATTTCTATTTATTGCAATTGCTGTTAAATCACAGCAGATAGGTTGTGAGAATTTGACTACATTAATTAAATACGGCATTTTCTTTCAATAGCAAGTGCCCTCTAATAAACATCACAGCTGCAAAGTGAAAAAAGTAATATATAGCTCACTGTTTATTAGAATAAATATGGTATATTGTGTTTCTCCCAAAACACAATAATTTAATCTCTGCCAACAAGAACATTTTGACGTTATCGCGCAATTACGACACTGCGTCATCATTTTTCGTCTTTGTAGAGAAAACTAGTGTCAAAAGTTAAGATTCATGTACACAATTAGTACAATTATTAAGAAAAAATTGTCCTTGTTCCTGATTCCCGTACTAAATTAATAGGGTTTCAATTGGTATAGATCTTTCTTCCTCGTTTTCTAATTGTCTTCACATACTTTTTAAATAAAATCTATTTTTAAATAAAAATTCCTGAGATTAGAATTCATTACCATCTTTAATTATTTTGGACACTCTATACGGAGAATTTATTATTTAACTGCATATTATATTATAGAAAATAATCAATTGGTACCGGTATGAATTGTTAGTAGAATAATACAGTAGAACCTCGAAAACTCGGCCTAATGTGGACCGAAGGGTCGCCGAGTTTGTGAAAATGCCGGATTATCGGGAATGGGGTTAAAAAAATAAGTATGAGTGTTTCCTCAGAAAATAATGTACTGTACTTGTATGTATTGTTTACTTGAGAATACAACAGAGAATAAACTGCCCAAATACCCTTAAACAAAGGAAAAGTACGTCCTTTATGAAGGCATAGAGCCTTTACTACATGAAAATGAAAATTAATGAATACACTGTGTACAGTAATTTACCTGATAAGACAGACCTCAGAAAAATACTTTATGAGAGCTTTTATACTTTTATAAAGCTGTCTATAATGAAAATTAATTAACTAAGGATTTTTTTGCCCTGCCAGGGTGTGGCCGAGTTATCCGGAGTGCCGGGTTATCAAGAGCCGAGTTTTCGAGGTTCTACTGTATAACCTACAACAACTGAGGCTTGGATTTTACCACGATAAGATATTATTACGAATATTTTACTTTGGTAGAAACCAAGCTCATGTAAACTGAAATTAGCTAAAGTATGAACAACAGATCCGAATTTTTTTATTTCTTTTTGTCAAACACTAAGAAAGAATCTTTAATTGAAAGGAATTTATATTTGAAAAAAGAACTGCAAAATATTCAGTATATATATAAGTAGATGTACGAAACACGAACATCTACTTATATTCAACATTTTAAATATTACATATAAACAAGACTGTTGAATAAAAATATTTAAAACTTAGAAAAAACAAACTAAATTATGTTCATAGAATATAACAACTTTTTTAAATTTACCGTGCTAAAAAAATCTCACTTAAAATACAATACAATATTCTAGACTTATAAACATACATTATCAGAGAAGAGTCAAAAGTATTACACAGTATTTTATTATAAGAGAAAGTTGCTTGAAAACTTGTTAAACTTTATAATCTTTCAATATACTGTATTCCTGTCAGCTCTCCATTTCTGTCGAATTGCCGGAACTGGTTAATGGCAACAGATATTGTGGTTATGCTAAAAATAAATAAATAATAATAATTTTTTTTTTTGATTCTGATGAAACCGTGTTGTTGTTATTAAGCTGTTTCTTTGCAGACACACTAAGGTGACATATATCAACACTTGGCAACTTATTGACTATTTATTCAGTACCAACTGAATAAATAGTCAATAAGTTGCCAAGTGTTGATATATGTCACCTTAGTGTGTCTGCAAAGAAACAGCAAAAAAAAAATAATAATAATAATAAGCTATCTGTGTAGGATGGATAGAGTGCTTATTGTACCGCCCACCAGTGGCCAAAAGTTCGTTCCTTGAACACTGGGAGTTTAGTCATGTGTTTGCGCTTCACCCGGACGGACTGGCCACGTGGAATTTTCGGGTTTTACTCCACGTCTGTAACGCCTAAATAGGAATTCAGGCGCTACCCTTAAAAACACCTCCAGGAAGCCAACCCCTTAGGCAGTATGCCCAAGTGTTGCGTTGCCATAACTTAAAAAACAAGCTTATTGAACTTGTTATCCACTTTCTTACAGGTCTCATACTACAAACACTACACAGAAGCATGGGCACATTACAATTGAACAGAAATACATACATCACACTATAGAAGGCCATTATATGAATACATGTCATATTGTTAGGAAATTCCTGAATACAGACACACAAACTAACACACTTTTTTAATTTTGAGACACAAAAACTAACACACTGTTCTCAGGAGCCATCTAAGCCTAATTGTTCCGGTTCCAACAGTTCTCAGGAGCCATGTAGCTTATCTATTTCGGGAAACTGTCTAGCTTAACGGTTCCGATGAAACTGTTGCGTCAGGAACGGTTTCATCGGAACTGGATTGCCCACATCTAAAACCTATTATAAGTCATAGAGTCCGAATCGAATACTTTACGCTAGGGATACCGATAAAGTATCCCTAGCGATTAAAATACTAATTTCAGTGTCCATTAATCTGGCTGATTATACATTCATGAATAAGTTCTAATTTTCACTTATTTTAACTAAGACTTAAGCTCTTATTTATAGCTTTTTCGAATAATAAATTATCAACTAATTATTATCATATAGATTCCAGTCGTGTCAGATCTTCCAGTAGGCCTTAATCTTCAAGATCACATTTTCTCTCTTGGAATTGATTTCTTAATTGACAAACCAGTTTCTTTCATCGCCTATCGTGCTCTAACTCCATCCAATGCTCTACGTTATTTCAAATATGGTTCTGGTAAGATTTTTATCGATATGTTTATTTGAACAGACAATAGTGTTTGAATAATATAATAAAAAATCCGCTTTTATAGGAGAGTGGACCTTATTAGGTGGAGTCGAAAGTTTGGCTTTCATCAATACTCGTTTTGCGAATTCTTCTGATGATTATCCAGATATCGAACTGCATTTTATAGCTGGCAGTTTGGCTTCTGATGGAGGAGAAATTTTTATTCCAGCCATTGGCATAAATAATCAAGTCAAGTATTGAAATTTTATTTTATATTCGTTGATTTACATTTATTTTAATTTCATACAATATAGAACTGTTTTCAAAAGTACTTTTAGAGACGCACTCATAAAGTCTCAAAAAATTATTTTTTCTTGTAATCAAAAATATATATTTATAAATCTTGAATCTCTATATATACATAACTTAAAAAATTACGCGCAAATCTATTCGCAAATCCCGTAACTACGATATTTTAATATATGCCTAATTCTTTTATAATCTGGCGTTTAAAAACAAAAGTGTGCCAGATTATCCAAATGGGGGAGTAGTGGGCGTTTTTGTATTGTTGCAAAATTCGATCAGTTAGATATCATCTGTACAGTACATTTCAAACCTTAAACTGCAATACATTTTATACCAGACACGCTTCTGTATGCTTACGATTCGTGTGCATACTGTCTTCTATCAGTCTGTTAATGACACTGTTTACGACTGTACTTTGTTAAGATTACATTGCTCTCTATCCAATGTGAAGTTAACATCTCGTGTTGTGCATGCACCTCACATGTAAGTACATATTTCAATTAACAACGTAACTTCAAAATTATATGTTTTTGAAGTCCATTATAACTGGACTAATCTTATAATATATATAACAAAATTCGTAGAATCATGTCAGCACATGGAACAACTTCATAATTTAGATTTGGCACAACACTGCTGAAATGTTACCGACCTTTAGGACATTCACAAGAAAAAATAAGTACGACAAATATCGTTAACTTCAGAAATGTATATAAGACAAATTACATTGATCGCTATATGTTGATCTCTATGACACAAATCTACCCAATCGAGATTTCTAAGACCATGATCAGATCAGATGAACATAACTTGAAGACTTGAAGATCTTCATTACTACTTTCGAAAAGTTGACTTTCAGAATTCAGCAATAAGTTCTTGAAGTATTAAATGTCATCGCCACGGTTTATGACCATTTAGGTCGTCAAGGACCAGTTATAACTCAAGCAAAAATCTTTATACAAAAACTTTCGTTCAGTAAACTCGACTGGGAGGATATCCTACCTGAAACCATCAATTATAAATGGGAGAACCCTGTATCATTCTTGAAAGCCTTCGATGATCATACGACTGCTAGACATATTTTGGCAGATCCCTTTTAATTATAGGTCTGTATGTAGATTCCGCGCAATTAGCTTATGGAGCAGTAGTTTTGTATTGCGTAAAGGAACACACTGTAGTACTAGCAAAAACACAATATCGTTTTGTTCCTCTTAAGGACATTTTAATTCCTCGATTAGAGCTGTCAGCTTGTCTTATACCGTCTCAACTGATCGAAAAGGTACGCTTATGTTTTAAATGGATATAATTGAAGTCATCTTACATATATATTTAACTATTGCAATCGCTTGGATCAAAACTTCGCATATTGCGTAAAAACTTTTGTTGCTAATCGAGTATCCAATACTGTGTATAGTCTATTACTGAAGGCTGTTACCAGAAGCACATAGCCTCTCAGTACAATTTGGCAGATGCCATTTCTCGGGGTTTAAATCTGCAACATCTACTAAGAACGGTCTTATGGTGAAGTGAGCCGCAATTTCTAGAAACACCATCTGTCGAACATCACGATGATATATATGCCATCGACACTCCGTCAGATGAACAATATCAATCTGAATTCAACCCCTTTTTAAACATTTAGGGATTGGTTTTTGTGGCCTTTTTTTTATTACATATAAGGGACAAAAAAGGATACTTATCACAAATGTTACGTTGCAATCTTCCTTTTCCTTTGATTTGAGCAATCCATCTCGAAGTAGTTAGATTTAACAACCGAATAAATGATACCAGCCTTAAAAAGATTTTTCAGTCGAAGTGGTAAAAGTCTTCAATTTGGACAAATAATGTCACAAATGTTTTGGGTTCCAGTGTGGAGTTCAACAAATTACAAGCCTGACATAAGTGGCATTTTGGGATGTTAGCGCTTCGAGCGTCACCATTCCAAATTTGTAACGGAAAAAAATTTAAAAAATGTGGGTAGGAGAGTATCTTATATCACGGTTCCTTGTTTTTATGTAACGGTTCTTGTTCTGGGGTAACAACCCTTGGTTCGGTAGTATATTTCGTGTGTTTATAGTCCGCATTAAACCTTTTTTCTCAATTATATATTCTTGGTACAGTCTATCAAGTGTCGAAAAATACCATCTGTCGTCAATCAATGAGAATTCCATCACAGTTTTATATTACTTCCATCTGGGTCAGCATTAAATCATTGGATCATTCAACACCATCAGTGTATTTAAAGTTTTTCAGCAGAACGTATAATGAAATATTTGAGTTGTTACATCGCAATCAAAATGTACTTGCTACTCTTCTGGAAATGCCAAAGCGGTTTGCTAATGCCGGAAAGAGCATTAATTTTCATATTATGGAAAAAGTCGTGAGAGACATTTTTGAATTCGGTTCAAGAGCGACGAGTGAGACAAATATCAGGCAACCTATAAATGATAAATGTGACGTCAATAACTATTTTATTCTAGTAATGGATAAGTTTTATAAAATTGTTAAATAAATTTTTTATCTGGCATCAATGAAAAAGAAGAAAAATAGACTTTATGTTGTAAATATCAAGTGTCATTCATGTTAGTTTAAAAAAACAAGCCACGGTATGAAAATAAATCGTCTAGGTTTTCCGCAATTTTCTTACATAACATCAAAATGAGAAAATGTATTTTTTAAAAATATTGAAAATTGTTCACCCTAAACAAGAAAATTGTTAGATACTGAACTATTGTTAGAACTCTGGAGTACTCAGGATCGAATTCGGAGAGATTAAAAAACCCCATAAATTTTTAGGTGACTAGTCTCCGTCCTAATATGTCAAGTTAACTAGTCGCCTTATTGCGGGCGTGGCCAAACTCATAAAGGTTTTTTTAATGGTCCTCTTCGTACTCATAGGACGAAAATAGTTTTAAATATCTAGTAAAAGTATTAGTTCCATTTCGTCTATCGAAATCGGCAATATGACGTAAAAATGTTGAAAACTTATTTTGCCAGCAGCTGTTGTCGAGATGCAAAGTCCTTGTACAGTATTAGGAAAACTCAAACTCATCGTGTTAAGTTATGGTGACGCAGCACCTGGGTGATCTGCCTCGGGGATGCCTTCCGGGAGGTCTTTTTTTAAGGGAAACTGGCCCCTATTTAAGCGTTACAGACGTGGAGAAACTCCACGTGGCCAGCCCGTGCCGAGCGCGAAGCCACGAACGCATTCCCAGTGTTTAGGGTACGAAGACCGCTCGGCCACTGGTATTATTTGCTCTGACAGTGCCAAAATAATTAAAAGATGTCGAAATGTTATTACTGCAAGATTGAAAACGATTGTGTTAATTAACAGGTGTTTTTACTTAACATAAATATGTGATGCAATTACAAGTTGTGAAATTTAACCTATTATTCATAATGTGAGATTGTATGCTTTGTTTTGAAGTTTATTTTAAACTTTTTTACATCACAAATCCTTTGAATAAAATCAAGTCGAAATGTCTACAGATAAAATGCACATCGGGCATATTATGCATGCTTTTTAAGTTTCGTAAAGGATATCACTCTATCTAAACAGTAAAAAAATATGTTTGCTGTGTATGTGAAAAATGCTTCTAAACTCCGAATGTGTCAAACGTGGTTTTGAAAGTTTCGTTTAGAAAATTTTGTATTTAAGGATACAAAACGTACGAGCCCCCAAAAGCTGTTGAAGAGAAATTGCGGGAGAAATTGTTATAGTTTGACGAATAACAACTCGTGAATTTGCAACAGATCTTAGTCTGTCGCATATAAGTAATATTGTAACACTTCGTCCCTTTGAAATGGTTGTAACACATGCTGATGACTGTTTCGCAAGCAATTTTTCTTCTCTTATTAAGAAAACGAATTGAATTGAGTATAATTTTGTCTTACGAAGGTAGGCAGCTGTAAAGTTTTGTTTTATTTTTAAACTAGTTACTCATTTTTACCTTAAGGAACATTTTTTACGGATGAATGAAAAAATTAAAGCTAAAATAAAAATATTTGTTATTAAGCGAAAATTTGTTTTAGCGAATGGTGATTGTTCGATCGAGTACAGAGGTTCCACTGTATTTGATTAACACGATTTTGATATACGATATACACGTCGAAAAATTTATTAATAGCATTAATGATGGGATACCTATATTAAATACTGTAATCTGTATATAGCGTCAACTTGTCTACTACGGAAGAGTTGTTCAGTTCCTTGGGTTTTCGTTATAGACAGGTTTGACTGTATTACTAATCTTTCATTTAAATATTTCTTTTCACTTTAGGTTAGAAAATTATATTATGGGCCTATTTTAAATCGGGATGCTTTCACCATATTTCCTACTTTAATTCATCCAAAAAGTCGTGGTTTTGTAAAACTCAGAAGCACTAATCCCTACGATCATCCTGTTATCCAACCGAATTATTTATCTCATCCACAAGATGTCTTGAGACTTATAGATGGTAAGTAGAGAATTTTTTTTTGTTTCGAAAATTTCATTTGGATATTTAATATTTGTATAATATAAAGAAATTATATAACATAAATATATTAAACTAAAAGAGCATTTTATAGTCATTTAAATATTCTAATAGTCGGCAGGAAGCATATTGCAGATCTATTACAACAAAATTTATATTTGATTTTTTATCATCAGGAGATAACAAATTTTTTTATCGAATTCTATAAAATCATCGTATATCTTTTTTAAAAACCTGTTATAGAAAAATAAATAACATCTAAATTCTGTGAAAATCAGATATTTGGTTAAAAAATATTATTAACGGACTATACAATGCATTATAGTCAAGGTAAAAATTTAGGCGATAATAAAATTGTTCTGTGCGCCTTTTGTCATTTAAATATATTATATATTTGATTCANACATCTATTTAGATAAAATTTATATTTGGTTATCTATCATCTAGATACAACAAATTTTTTATCGAATCCTATAAACTTATCGTATAACTTTTTTAAAAACTTGTTATAGAAAAATAAATATCATCTAAATTCAGAAAGAAATCAAACATTTCGTGAAAAAAATAAGCATTAATGTGCTGTACAACCTTACCTATTCTAAGATGCATAGACTAGATAAAAATTTATGCCAGAATGGAAATTGTTCTGTGCTCATTTTGAAATATAAATATATTTTCAGTGTAATCACTACAATACACGTCAGTAGCAATGTCATAATGATTTCATGTTTATAAATTTCATTAAATTGATTGTATTTTTATGTGGAAATAAGATTGATGTTAAAGCTTCAACTGAAATTTATTAAAATTCTTTTTGGAAACTTTCGATGCGATGAATAGTACACATTATTTAGTCACTCGTTTAAACATTTTACTATCGAGTTTTAGTTACGAAACTACGTTGTAGCACTTAATTTACTAATTCTTCTGTAACAACTTATCGATGCTTGCCATGTCAAACAATTTTCTTTCACAAATGCAGTCTAATAGTTAAAAGATATGGCATTAGACAGTTGTTTGTGAAATAAAAGGGTTTGTTTGACAAGAAAAGCGTTAACATTGACTAATAATACTTATTACAAAAAATTGTAAAACGTTTTACTAAGGTAAGGATGCCGAATATGAGATACCATTTTTATTTTTGACTATAAAAAAATAACTATTACACTTGGAGCTTTACAAATTACAGTTTTGAATAGGGAATTTAATATGTTTAACAATATAATTGCTATTTAGTCCTAAGCATAATACATTTTTAGTTATATTAGATAAAATGAAAAAAGTCCGAAATCACGTCTTAGGTAAATGGTCTCCTATTATGAGATACTAGGGGTACCCCAGATTCTGGACAGTCTTGACCCGTCCAGATTCGATCCCGGGTCCCATAGAGCGGTAGGCTGTCACCGTGACCTCTTGGCCATCCGGCCTTTTCTGGGGTATCCTTAGGAACACCGAATTCTTTTGATGCCTTTAAGTAACCTATTTGATTGCTCCGTACTGCATCTACGGCTCTTATCATGGCACTGTGGTGCCAGGTTTTCCTTTTAATTGAAGCCATCTAAAATATATAAAAAAAGAACTTAATCTAATACGTATACTTTCACCTCATATATGAAATGATATATCTCATATTAGGAACCCTCATGTGTCTCATATTGGGAACACATTCAAATTTTACAAAACGGCTGCCTACTTTTTTTGCTGACAAAGAAAACAATAGTTCTGCACTAATATCGTGAAATTGACCGTATAATTGATACAATGAATGTAAATTAAAAGAATTTAGCGTAATAATAACGTTGTTACATATCTCGTAAACATTTAATGTCAAAAAATTTGTTTTGTGCTTTTGTGAAAATCTGCACACCCACGATCTAACAGCACCTCTGGCCAGCGTGCACTGACACACGTTTGGAGCTACTGCCAGGACGCTTCGGAAAACACTAGAGCCAAATAGTTGCCGTTAATAGTTTGGCCAAAACCTTGGTATCTCATATTTGGCGCCTATTTCATAATAGGCATCTTTACCTTATATCTAAAATTATACAATGTTATATTAATCTTATAAATTAGAAATGTAATAATAATTTAACGTTGCAGCAATGAAAATAACGATACAAATTGGTGAATCGAAACCTTTTAGAAAGTTCGGATCTCGATTATATTCAACTCCTGTTCCAGGATGCGAAAGATTTTTAAGACTTAGCGATGAATATCTCGAATGCGTGCTTAGAACTTTAACTGCCACTATTTATCATCCCGTAGGAACGTGTAAAATGGGTGCTGTAGACGATCCGACAACCGTTGTGGATCCCGAATTGAGGTTTGTATTGTAATTATGAACAATAATATCATGGTCTCAAGTAATTTTCATAGTTTCGGGTCTTCATTACTTCTGTCAAATAAGTAGAATAGACGAAAGTATTGGTATTATAAAGATTGTAAATGTTATGAATTGTCACGCAGTTAATTGTTTATAATGCTTTGAAATGTTGATGCTGTACAAAAAGCTGCCATTGAATGCTAGCCAAACGTTAGATGTCAAGATGGGCATAGTCTTAACTTAAACTGTCGTTGCAAATTCTGACAGATTTTTATATGTGCTTTTGATAACTATTGTTGATGATACCGCAAATGAATCAACTATTTAAGTGTGAAACATTGTCATAAGTTTGGTGCCCTAAACGGATTTGTCGAGCGTGATAAGCGGATTGAATTAGGCTATAAGTTCATAATTTTCGATTCCACATTTTACGAATGTTTCGTCTTTAATTAAGAATACTAAAGTTCGAAAACCACGAAAGGGCAGTATACTGTTTTTGAATTGGGACTCTCTTTATCCGGACGGATCAAAGACAACCAAAATTTTGGAAAATATCGTACACTGTTCTGAATCTTATCTTTCATTGTGTACATTTTTAATTTTTTTACATTAAGTTCGCATTTCAGGTAGTAGAAGGGCACAGCGATCAATCGCAGCAGAAGTGATAATGATGAAATATTGAAGTGTAGCAGCTCGTCAATTAATATAGAACAGAAAAAACAAATTTAACACAATACTCTCAAAATTAGGCTTATTGTAATTGTACTTGCCAAAATAAGCGTGAAAGTGAAAATAAACGTTATTATACATACATTAAGCATATATGTTAAATTTTTATTTAAAAAGTATCGCACTTTCTTATTAGGACTTATCTAACATTCAAATCACTCTCGCCCAGATTAATTCGGATATGCAAGTCTACTGTATATGTACGATTCAGTTCAATAATAAATACTTATTTGAATAACAAAGAATTTAGATTAAATTCTAATTAGTTTATAATGTAAAAATTTCTATTCTTTGGATTATGATCATCAGCATGGTAAGTTAGTTTGTTTAGATGTGACAACGCAACACTTTGGCGATCTGTCTAGGGAGATGCCTTCCGGGAGGTTTTTTTAAGGGAAACTAACACCTATTTAGGCGTTACAGACGTAGAAAAATCCCTGAAAACTATACGTGGCTAGCCAGTCCGAGTGAGGTGCGAACTCCCTGTGTACAGGATACGAAGATCACTGGCCACTGTAAGCCCGTGTAAGTTAGACTTTAAGAAACTTTCATTAAGTAAAAATTGTTTATTACCTGTCGAAGCTTGTCAAATAAAAAGTAAACCTGTAATCGTAATTAGACAAATAAAATTACGAATTGTTATACATTTTGTTGTACGATTACTTTGCCAGTCACCCATTATAATACAGCTTATCGAGTAATCCCTCTTTCTTAACCTAGTTTCCGCAGTCGGTCACTACAGTCTCCAAGAGTACATATTTCATTTATAAATTTGTATATTATTGTGCATTCCATTTGAAGGATTCGATGACTTGAAAGTGTTTTTATGAACGAATTATAAACTTTTTGTACATTATTTCTATAAATTTTTGCTGATTTTATTTCAATGTTTTGTAATATGTAAGAAATGAAAATTAAACAAGTTGACAAATTTGAGTTTCCTTTACACCTTTTCTTTATTTACAATAAATAGAAACAATTAAGATCTCGTTTAAAAACCAATTCGCTTAACGACCTCGTCGTAGGTACGGAATTGTGTCTTTAAATGAGGAGTATTTTCAGTAATATAAATTGACAAAATGATGTGCATAGATTAGGATCGTTCAATTATATCAATTATTTTTTTCTTATTGAAACGATCTTGCGAAATTGTCCAGTTTCTAATACTATTGTTAAGGTGTAGGCCTTATGAAAAAAATTCTGAACACTACATATTTTTATAGCGTAAAATATATTAATTATAATCCCTTTGAACAATCATATCATTAGATATGCTTATTATAATCATATTTTAATTTGAAAATAATTAACCAATGTTTTTTCTTTTTTTGAAAAATGAACAGAAGTAGAAGAGCGCAGTTTTCATGCAATTAACAGAGAGTCAGATTTATGCGTTTATCAAACTAAGCAATAATTTGCTTTTGCATCTTGCATTGTAAAATAAAATTATTTTTACCAGTGTACGAAAGATTACGATTATAATAATCCTTGTTGTAAGAACATTATAGGTCGTGCAACAGTATTTTCGAGTATTTTGATAGCAGAAATTGAGTTGCGAATGTACTTCGTTCGAAATTCATTAAAATACTGATACATATAAAAAATATTTTTTCTGAAATTGTGACTTTATCTGACATAAACAGGATTTTTTTTTTTGCTTTCTCGGTAGTTGGTGTAAACTTAATACATGTTTTAAGTATATATACTACTTGTACAGTACATATTTTTAACGCATTTTGTTTATAGACTATTTGTACTATTTTCAAATTTAAAAATTAATTTTAGATCATTTTTATTGTATATTTAAAATATAAATATTAACTTATTCTTTAATGTTTATTTTGCTTTCTGAAACATTATGAAATAATTTTCAGAGTAAAAGGAGTTTCGGGATTAAGAGTAGTCGATGCTTCCGTTATGCCCACCATTCCTTCTGGAAATACCAATGCTCCAACGATTATGATTGCGGAAAAAGCTGCTGATATGATTTTAGGCGTTGAACATAATATGTATTTTAAATAAAGATGAATAAAAAATTATATTTTCAATTTAATTAAAAATTTTTTAATTACTATTTTATAAAAACTAATCGTTTACATTTTAAACATTATTATAGAATATATACAACTGAAATTAATGTTTATAAAAATATCAAGTTCTCGTAATTCATGTAATCGTATTAAACATACTTATACAAGATGGTTAGAATTAAACTGATGATACTCAGACATGCGTGAGCCGAACCGAATTGAATGAAATTCTGTACACATGCAATTCAGATTATGAGAAAGAGATTTACGGAGCAAAAACTATTCTATATTTTCACCAGCAGGGTAAAATATGGCGCTGTTCAGTCGAAAATGCATGGTTTTGGCTGTGAAGTGATTAGAAGGATCGTGTTTATCAGGAGCTTGAGAACTCTGTTTTAGGGCTGAAGGCCAGCATCGTATGACATGTGTTTTCGATAACTCCCGAAATTTTATGTGCGTCAGTTGATAACACGATTTAACGATTGCCGCATGTGGTCAATAGAGAAAGATCTTACATTTAGCACATACTGAAAATGTGTAAACTGTAATTTTATTCTTCTAGTAAAATTTTGTTTTCTTGTCTTATAATTATCATACTTGCTGCGCCACATTTTTTTCTTGTGGTAAAAATTTTGACTAATTTTTTTTCCTACATAAATCTATTCTCCATGGTCTTCATTGCATGTGTACCGAGTTTCATTTCATTCGATTCAGTAAACCCGGTTCCATGAGTGTTTAAGTACCGTTAGTTTAATTCTAACTATCCTGTATTTTAGGATCATCCGTCTTCTTGCTGATATTGTTCATAAATACCAATCATAATGTTTTAGAATTACATATATCTTTATCAACCGTACAAAAGTAAGCTTAATTAATTAATTAAATACTGTTTCATACGTCACAGTACCTGATAAGGCTGTTCAACCTCGGCGGATTGTCTCCATTTAAAACATGGAAATTAAATTTAAAAATAGAATTAAAAAAATAATTTTTTTATATAATAATCAATATACGAGGCCTAACTATAAGTGAAATCAAAATAATTAACAGAATATTGATATATGAATTAAATAGTAAAGTATTAATTGTGCCGCTCCAGAGGAGTAGCTACCGAGGAGTAGTTGGAGCAAATTGCTCCAGGCGCACGAATCATGAGAGTGCCAAATTAGAAATGGTAAAATATAAACTTGTAAAAACATTTGTAAAAAAATTGTGTATTTAATAATTAATCAATTAACTATTAAATTTGAATCCGTTCGACAATTATGTACACTTTTTAAGTACTTATCTCTTGCATATTTTGTCGCGTCATCAGATTCTGGAAGGATCAGAATGTTACAATCGGCATATCCCTCCGACATTTCGCCTAGTTTTGGACCTCAACTGCTTCGATTTTAAATATGTTTTTATACTCAGGTAAAAGAAATTACAGTACTTCTAAACGCGAAGTTGCTGAACTACTTTTAATTCACACTGCAGCCTCAAGTAGCTTCTCTCACATTATTGTAGCATGCCTCATTTTTTAACTTTACCAGCGACGACAGTTATAGCAGAACAACGTTTTTCAAAACTAAAATTAATCAAAACTTATTTAAAAGAAACATGTCATAACACCGTTCTAGCTCTGGCTACTATATCAATTGAAAAAACAATAGCTTGTCAACTTGATCTAGAGAAAGCGATTAATCGATTTGCAAACGAAGACGTAAGAAAACAACAATTTTGAAGTTTTTTTAAACGTATTATTATGTATTTGTCATAAAACTAAAATTGCATACGTTTTGTCAATACAGTTAACATGTAATAAATATTATTAAGTATTCCACGAAACAAAAAGTGGAGAAAAGTAACAAAGTAATAGACATTCTTTCTAAAAGTTCCTTTTAAAATATAAATTCAAATAAGCATTGTAGAATGTATTATTGTAGATGTAGCTTTTATTTAACTACATATAAAACGTATAAGATAGCATAGATATGTTATAATCGTTATTTATTATTACGATTTAGGAGTGATTGAGAGAGTTAATCGATCTGGCAAGTGAAAAACGCAGTAACATGAAATTCAGTTTCACATAGTTTTTTATTATAGAAAAACTTCATTATTGTACATTTTTTATTAAATATTTTTTGCAAAAATGAATCATAACTGTTCTGTTACTGTTACAATAGTTATTATTAATTTGTTTAAATTGATTACTCAGAAACATAAATGATGCCAGCTGTATTTGAAGTTCCATCATGTCGATTTGTTCTTAGATTTTTATAAGAATCATGTTTAATAGGAGGAATAAAAAATTATTTATGGTTTCGTCCATCTTAATCTAACGGTATTAATTTTTTTTTCTAAAAACAATCGTTCAATATTCTACAATTATATAAGTATATTTACTTCTGCGGCATTTGCACTGTAACTAACTAATTTCTTTTGCTTAGTTTTTGTGATGAGATAACATTAATTTACCTTATAGATGCGATCAGTTTCACCATCTCGGATGTGATTATAAAATCGAAACCATGGAGATATACAATACATTGTTATTCTTGTGTTAGGTATAAAAATCCGTCTCTGTTTTTTCGACGTTCTCTATTTTCTGCTACCGTTCTGCCTTATCGCAGTAAATATACAAAAAAAGCAAATCTCTTCCATACTATTGGTATTTTAAAACATTGTAAAAAATAATTTGGCTATGCTTAATAGTTTACTTTTACGTTTAATGTTTAGAAATTCAAAGGATGAATGAGAAAAATGACAATATTTTTTTCTAAATTTCTGAAGATTAAACACAGAAATGATAATTTTATATATTGATATTTCCTAACGAAGAAAAATCTTAAAAACAAATCTTGAAATTTTTGTAAATAATACGAAACACACACACACACACACACACANGCAACATAAAGCCACATTAGAAGCAAAGGATAAAAATAAAAAATTTAGAACTTGAAGATCGGAATGGTTATAGAGAATTCGAAGTAAACTAAAAAAAAGAGGAAGAAAAGTTTTACAGAACAAAAAATGACGATACAAATATACTTATTGTATATATTGAAATGAAAAATATGGCATTACTCAGGAGGTTATGCTGTAAATGTAAACTCTGGGCTCATATGGACTGTACTGATGTAGAAAATGAGCATGTTCAATTGCATGTTTGATAAGAGGAATAAAAAATTATTTATGGTTCCGTCCATCTTAATATAACGGTATTAATTAATTTTTTTTCTAAAAACAATTGTCACCAAAATTAAAACAATCGTTCAATACTCTACAAGTATATAAGTATATTTACTTTTTCGGCAGTTGGACTGTAACTAACTAATTTCTTTTACTTACTTTTTGTGATGAAATAACATTAATTTACCTTATAGATGCGATCAGTTTCACCATCTCGGAGACAATGGAAATAAACAGTACAATGTTATTCTTGTGTTAGGTATAAAAATTCGTTTCTGTTTTTTCTACGTTCTCTATTTTCTGCTACCGTTCTGTCTTATCGTAGTAAATATACAAAAAAGCAAATCTCTTCCATACTATTGGTATTTTAAAACATTGTAAAAAATAATTTGGCTATGCTTAATAGTTTACTTTTACGTTTAATGTTTAGAAATTCAAAGGATGAATGAGAAAAATGACAATATTTTTTTCTAAATTTCTGAAGATTAAACACAGAAATGATAATTTTATATATTGATATTTCCTAACGAAGAAAAATCTTAAAAACAAATCTTGAAATTTTTGTAAATAATACGAAACACACACACACACACACACACAAATATATATATATATATGACATAATATTTAGTTTATTTTGCGAAAGGATGTTATCACTGATTCTTGGATTTCTATGTAAATTGCATGTTTTATTTATTTGTTAAATATTTACTGCATATTTCTAAATACTGTATTTGAATCTTTCATATTTATACGGTAGTCTTAATCTATTTAATGGTAACTAAAAATGTAAATCCTCAACGATTTATATTCGTTTGTAATGTAAATTTTAAATAGAATATTTCTAATTTGTTATGTACAGTTGAACGATTTCTGATTTCGTTGTGTTTTACACTCAATTTACATTCGGTGATTGAAAACATACGCTTCATTGGAAAGCATATTTCAACTGTAAATATTTCAACCTTCAGTTTAAAAACTAAGTTTAATCTGTCTCAGCATGAAATCTTAAATTTCATGCTGAGACAGGTTAGAAAATTTCATCTAACTATAAATATTCTTAGAAACAATGTAAATATTCATAATCCATTATGGAAATTGATTTTTTCGTATTTTTCTATCTAACCTGAAAGTGCAGTTTTTTATAATACGTCCTAAGTACTTTAGAAATATTACTTCCTCGATATGACGTATAATTTTACACAGGCGAGCTATAATAAAAAACATCTGTCATCTCGACCAGTAATGCTTTCTAAGAAATCGAAACAAAATTAATTTACAAACAAAGAAAGAAGTAACAGTGAAAGTTGTACAATTAATTGGAATATTAATTTAAACACTTTTTAAATGAGTAATTTGTGATGTAATTAAGATACTTTCAGATAATTTTTATTTATAATAAATTATTGTTTATATTAGGAACTGTATTCAATCACTTTTCTAGTAACAGTTATTTTAATAGAGAAACAATGTTCATACTGGTTTCATGAAATCCCACTAATCATCTCCTTCATCAAATTTTAGTGTTGAACCTGTTCATCATGGAATTTAGAATAAATTCCATGATGAACAGGTTCAAACAAACTAAGTAACTAAACAAAAACAAATTGTATTAAATATACGATACTAAAATTAATTAATTTTATTTATCAAACCATAGCTATGAAAATAAACAGTTCAGTGAATTACAACCGCTGAACGACTTTGAAGCACGACCATTTCCAAATTTGCTACCTGGCTGAAAATTTTGAAAGAGAAAATGATACTTATCTTGTATATATGATTCGAATTTTTTTCGTCACTTTACATCATCCTGTTGGAACATGCAACATGGATGCAGTTAACCATCCAGTAGCTGTAGTAGATCCCCAGTTAAGATCTGTATAATAGAAATGTTGATTACGCATGTAATATGAGTAAATCAAGTTTAATAATAAGACTATAAGTTTGTTACACAAAAAAAACTGATATTATAAAATCGTTCACTTATTTAATTATAGGCTACTTAAAAGCTCAAATGAAATTTACGAATGTCATACCAATTAATAAATTACTATTTGCTTACTTTCGCAGAATATGTTTTCACTTTCAACTATTAATTTCGTAAAAGAATTCTATAATAAAATCGCAATTTTTTTTTTCTCAGAGTGAAGGGCGTAACTTGTCTGTGGTTTGTGGATACTTCTGTTATGCCAAATGTCGTCTCTGGTAATACAAATGCTGCAACTATAATGATTGCAGAAAAAGCTACGAACATGATATTGAAATGCACTCAATTATAGAATATAATAATATAGAATTTATCGAAATTCCAATTGTGAAGAACAACAGTATCAGTTATTATTTCTTTTTAATTTGTTCTACTAGAAAGACCAGGAACCCACGCACGATTCAATGCAACAAATTTATCTATTTTATGAAGTACATTTCGAGTGTTTTATACTTTCTGTTCATCATCTGCACTAAAATTTAAAAAAATTATTCACTAATGTCGGGATAAAATCGTCTGGACGTACGATTCCCGCGCTTTTCCTTCTTCTCGAGCGAGCAACGGTTGTCATGGAAACGTGGATCAGGCGATGACAGTGTTTTGAAACTCGACCGCGGATTGGCTAGCAAACATCATACGATCAGCGGACGTCCGATAGCGCTGCTAGATGCTGATTGGTGGTTTTACATTCGTTTCAATTCTTATAAAAGGAATGGACAATGCGAAATTCAACCGCAATCTTGGTGTGCTCATTTCGTTCCTCGATTTCAGTGATTTTAAGTAACTCTTTCCTGCGACTTTCGTCGACTTTACTGCGGTTCCTTATTCTTTAGCTTCTGGTCTTCCTCTTTGGTCTTTTCTCTGCCCAGGTAGGAGTTTTCCTCTTTCTTTCGACCGGAGTGGCTTCTCCTCCGGACTCGGTTATGGCGTCGCCGTCGCGCGAGCGTCTTCAGCAGCAACCGTCGGGATCGGAAGCACTCATAACTTCCGACGAATTAAGATTTATTTCTCCTCTGTCGGAATTGGAGAAACTCTTTTCCATCCGTTCGTCCCTTCCTTCGGACCAAATCTATACGATTTTTCTAAAAGGACAGGACCTCTCCGACGTCTTCGTCGGGCTGAGCTCTCAAACCGCATTTCCCCCGACCGGAATTGCTGCAAGATGTCCGCTACTCCCGTAGTGGTCTTCTAATAATCAAAACTCCGGATCACCAGGCCGCAGACACGGCTCTTCGTATACCTGATATTGCCGGGATATCAGTCCGTGGCCGTCTGTCCCCGGACTGTGTCCACACCACTTACCTCCTTCGTGGGGTGGATCCGTCGACCACAGCCCAAGAAATTTACGATATTCTCTCGGACTCCCACCTTCCAATCCTAGAGATACGTCATTTCACACGACAGGACGGAAATAACATCGTGCCTAGCTTCACTGTTTACTTTTCTGTGGCCAGTGCATCCCCACTGGAATCCGTTACTATCTATTACCAACGTTACCACGTGAGCAGTATATTCCTCGCCCACGCCAATGCAGGCAACGCTTAAATTTTGGTCACTCGCCCACGACATGCCGCGGCCGCCGCAAATGTATTACTTGACCATGACCCTACCATATGTACCGCCGCTGCGGTCGGCTGTGTGTGTTGCGGATGAGAACATTCCGCGGACTCCCCTAGCTGCCCAGCCTATCAGCAAGAGCCACGCCTTTTAAAATTCAGCGTCATACAGCGTCATAATTCAAATTAATACTGGTACAATAACTGCGTCAGATTTGGAACGTCCGACACTACTGTCCTTACTCCCAAATCCCTGTGAGTTACCAATCCAAATTACAGATACTGATCAAGAGAACGATATAGTTATTTTTACTGATGGCTCTAAAAATGAAAGGAATGTAGGATGTGCTTTTGTGGTTTACTCAAATAACATCGAGATTGCTTATCAAATGTTTCGGCTGGGAGAACTCTCTACAGTCTTTCAGGCAGAAATGTTCGCAATTCTTCAGGCCCTTATCTGGGCCAATCAACATTATTCCTTTACGAGAATTACAATATGTAGTGACAGCGCTTCTTCACTGGCCACAATTAAAAGCACTAAAGCTCACCCATTGTTTACAGCTATTAAAAAGTCTGTTCTAAATTCAAATAATGACTATAAATTCAAGTGGGTAATGGCACATAGGGGGACTAGCGGCAATGAAAGAGCAGATCACTTGGCTAAATATGCTGCTAATAATGATCAGCTTATAATTTCTTATAACAAGGTCAGCTTGAATACTATCAAGGGCATTCTTTGGAGTAATATGCTCAACAACTGGCAGCAAAAATGGAACAGCAATGAGGGTAAAATTACTTACAAATTTTTTCCAATCATTAAAGATATCTTTAAATACACATGGATGAAACCATGTTTTTGGTCCACTCAAGTTTTCACCGATCATGGTAAATTTGCCAAGTACCTACACAGATTTACTGAATACATCAATAAAGAATGTCCAACTTGTAAAATTGAAGATGGGAGCACTCATTATATCTTCAACTGCGTAATGCTTGAAAGAGAAAGACAACAACTCAAATCTGTCCTCATTAGCCGTGGTTACTCTTGGCCATGCTCTCATAATGACCTTGTGAACAATAATGGAATATTTATTTATTTTTATAATATAATTAAAAGCTACGGCAAAATCGTAAACATCCATACTCCTTCATAAAGCTTCCCAGCATTCTACATAGATATTACATTGAATTTCAACACAGAAATGAAGATGTGATTGGGCTCTTCTAGTGGGAGAATGTTCCTATAGTGGTCTGCAACAGTACCGAATCTATGCAAGAATTTTAGTGTATTAAAGAGATATAAAGTAATATATGGTGAATTCTTCTCTTTTGTGCCTCTAAAATATTGTTCTATGAACCTACTTTCAAGAGCATATGCGACAAGGATATTTTATGGATTCAAATTGAAAGGTTACAACTGTAACTTAAATGTGAATTGAATGTTTAGGGGTTTCTTCTAAGCATCACTCAGACTTTTAGCATGATGCTACATGAATTAACTGTTTAAATTTCTAGGAATTTGCGAAGAAATCCTCCAGTATAGAAATTGCTTGAGCAAGGACTGTTCACGATGCAGGATGAATGTTTCGAACTTTGAGTGTAAACATTTAGTTCCTGACAGCCTTAATCTTTTCAATGTAGTTATTATATTTTGTATTTATTCTGTTACATATAACCCATTATTTATTGTATAACTTTCATACACATTGTCGTGCCCTTCCCAACACGCGGAAAATTTGTCTCGCGTATTATAACAAATCTCTTTTCTATATGAAACAAAACATGTATATTTAATCTTAATCTACTAATTGTAAACTTATATATTCCACCTCTCATTGTAATACTTTATGCAATAATGCATATTACTCTTACACTTTGTAAATGTAACTATAACATTTGCAATACCTAAAACATCTGTAAACTGGCTGTGCTTACTGCGGAACCAGTTATGTAACTTTGGTTACGACATTAAAAGATTTGTGTGTGTGTGTCATCAGCGCTATTCTTACCTAGAAGCCAAGCACTCGCAAAGCAACTCCCCAAAATTATATGCAAAAGTGGCCTCAACTTCCCCCCAAAAAACTGCCCGAGAGGACCCCTCGTTGTGAAAAGCAGCCAGCTCTTTCTACTATTGGACAGATAGATGACATTCTGACCTTAACCAATCGTATTTCCCAATTGGAATCCATAGTGGAGAAGCTATGCACGGAGTTAAGTCGTCTTCGCTCAATTATTCAGCCTACCCCGCTTAACTAGACTCGGCTCACGAAGTGAAACCTTCGTGAGCCGAGTCTGGACAAGGATCTGATTATGTCCATGTCACATAAGCGCTTTTCCCACCCGGCGGGCCCTTTGACTCCCGCCCAACTCCCAAAGAAGAAAGGACCTAAACCTCATCCCACCGATCCATTGGCGGCATCCGACTCAGAAGGTCTAAATTCGGGCATGGACCTCACGTACTCCACGGGGTCCACAAGAGTAACCCCTATAGATGATCCCTGTATTGCCTCCCCAGCCGAGAGGCTAAACTTCGCCGCCACCCGCCCAACACCCCACGCAAAATGTCTAATTCCTCAATCAAATTGCAAAATATCTGCTTGATACACTGGAACGCGAGTTATTCGTTCCTTTTGGTGGCATCTTGGCTACATACCGTGGACATCCTTTTACATAGTACAGGAGACGTGGCTAACTCCTGAGGTGGTCTTTTCCATTCCAGGATTCACTCTCTTCCGCCATGATCGCACCTCTGCTTGGGGTGGAGGTCTCCTAACAGCGGTCTCTCACCGGTGGCCCGCCCGCTTGTTGCCCCCTGGTCCTGAGATCACCGGCATCGAATATCAAGAGACCTTAGTATACTTTTCACGGGCTCCTCTCTCCCTTGTTAATGTGTATTCTGCACATGGCGTCCTTTAGGCTGTTTCACTGGACCCCCTTTTGCGGGGCAATCACCACCCTCGCATAGTGTGCGGGGACTGGAACGCTCATCATTCTTATTTGGATAACGAGTGCAAATGCCCAGACATCGCAGGCATCACCCTCTTCGATTGGTTCTCATCCGCGAACTTATGCTGTTGGAACTCAGGGGAACCAACTTATTTCCACCCAAACGAATCGTCATCTATAGATCTGACCTTCTGCTCCCCGGACCTGTTAGGTTCCGCCTTGTGGAGTCCTTGCGTGGACACCTTAACCAGTGACCACGCTCCTATTTCGATCACGCTATCTATCTCGGGCACCCCTAACCCGACGATTACCCCTCGTTTACGTCTCACGAATAGTGTCTACAAAGGCGTTATACGAGGTGGGAATCAATTCCTCGGTGGTCCAAAGCTGATCGAGGTTATTGGAATAACGATTCCAGTTTGTAGAAAAGTGTAAACGAGGGGTAGTCGTCGGGTTAGGGGTGCCCGAGATAGATAGCGTGATCGAAATAGGAGCGTGGTCACTGGTTAAGGTGTCCACGCAAGGACTCCACAAGGCGGAAACCTAACATTTCCGGGGAGCAGAAGGTCAGATCTATAGCTGATGATTCGTTTGGGTGGAAATAAGTTGGTTCCCCTGAGTTCCAACAGCAAGTTCGCGGATGAGAACCAATCGAAGAGGGTGCAGCCTGCGATGTCTTTTCTACAAACTGGAATCGTTATTACAATAACCTCGATCAGCTTTGGACCACCGAGGAATCGATTCCCACCTCGTATAACGCCTTTGTAGACACTATTCGTGAGACGGTTTCCTCTAATACTATAATACGCTCCATTCCCTCCTCGGGTCAACCACCGTGGTGGACCCCTAAATGCAGCCGTTTTAGAGCGCTTAAACGTCGTGCTTTCCGTCTAGCCTGCAGGCGGGCTTCTCACTCCTGGTGGGATAAATATAAACAATTATGAGCGAAACTCTGTCGGAAGACCCGTCAGGCTCGTCGGGAGTGGTGAAATCGTTTGAGTGCCTCTCCCCCCTCTTCATCCACATTCTACCGCATCTTCTGTCGACTGAGATCCCCACTGGAGATCACGGCCACCCAACACATAATCCAAACGACGGACTACCTACTCAGTCCCATCCAGCAAGCGGAAGCCTTTGCATCCTTCTTTGGGCGTACCCGCCCAAGGGGCACTTTTGCTCCCCTTGATGATCCCCGGCTAGGGGCCCCAAAGTTTGACGATTCCCCCTTTCATCTCCTTGAATTCCGTCGGGCTATACACCGTCTTTGGAATACTACACGAGGCCCAGATGGCGTAAGCGCACACTCCTTGCGGACCCTCCCAAATGTGGGCCTCTTGGCATCCTCAATCTCTTAAACGACCTCTGGACCTCAGGGTTCTGCCCCCAGACTGGACCTTTCTACCGTTGTTCAGATCATTAAACCGGGTCGCCCAGCGACGATATGCGCCTCTTATAGGCCGATCTCTCTTACCTCTCACGTCGCAAAACTATTCGAACGTCTGATCCTATATCGAATCCATAAATGGACCTTTCATTCTGATA